TAGGATCACAACTATCCTTATCTCTATCAAAATTAAATAACTCAATATGAACATGTTTTGTTGATAAAACAACTAAATCTACATCACAAGTGAGTTTGTTATCTCCATTGGGAATTATAGGAATATCAATGTAATTTAGATCACTTCCAGGAAATAATTTACTTTGAAACACAACTTCTCCTCTCAAAAAACAATTGAGTACTGCTATATACGAAGCTCTATTTTCGATACCAGCTGTATATGTGAATTCTGAATTAACTGAACATGAGAAAATAAGTAGAAGACACGTTATAAATAATGAGGAAGTCATGAGGTCCTTTTTTTTTTCGATGTGTGTATTTTTTGTGTTAATGAAACTCTAATTTATAATAGTAATTTTTCTCATGTTATTTAAGATTCATTATTAGTATCTACAGAAGTTTAATTATTTCTAATCCACAAAAATATAAGTCACTGAATTTAGTCATAAAAATTTATTAAATTAGACAGCCAATAAACACTGGATAAATGCCCAAAATATAAAAAAAGGCAAATTTCATTAATATACAGAAAAATTTAATGTTTACAAAAGAAGTAGCCAATTTTCTATTCAGTTATTTTTAAATATGAGAATTTATTTTTATTTTATTTTCTTGTAGTTCGTTTGTTTTATGATTTTTCATTTGATTTTTGATATTTATATTAAAGTCTGACTAAATTTATACACATGTCGAAAAATTCATTCTAAAATATAAAGTGTTCCCTAACGATAATAATTTTATATTTCAGGAGATTTAAAACGGAGACTCCAATCTCATTATAATTATACTACAAAAACTACATTTTTTATGGTGACTCATATAATCCTTATCTCTATCAAAGATAAATAACTCAAAATGGATATGTTTTGTTGATAAAACAATTAAATCTACTGCCATTTTTTAAGCTTTATTTTCTATATCAACCGTATATAAGATGGGATTTGAACTAATTAAACTGAAAATAATAAACAAATAACACGTAATTTCTAATGGGAAAGTCATGAGTTTCTGTTTTTTCTTTTTTCATTTTTGATGTGTGTATCTTTTTTTTTTATTGATGGGACTCTAATTTATTGTAGTAATTATTATAAAAATTTAATTACTTCTCATCTTCTATATATAATTATAAAACAAAAAGAAAGTCATCGAATCTAGTCCAACAATTACAACAAGTAATTCTATTGACAGAAAAAGGCAAATTTCATTAATTAATATACACAAAAACAAAAAAGTTACAAAGAAAAAAGATCTATTTACACAAAAAATAGTCAAAAAGGATCATGCACTTTTACAAAAAAATAAGTGTTTTCTTTTAATTATTTAATTTAATTTATTTGTCTTATTTTTCTTTTTAATTAGTTTTTAAAAAAATATTTTTTTCTCTTTTTTCTTTTTGAATAACTGAGTAATTCAAATTTTTCGCACAACATATATAATAGCAATAAAATTAAACTACATTTTATTACATTAAACATTGTCTTTAATTTAAAATCATACAATAGAAAATCTTCTTTAATTTTTTAAATAATAACACAATATATATATACAGTAATATATATTATTTTTCTTATTGAATATAATTGTAGTTTAATCAATTACTTATTCCACATGAAGAAAAGCTTACAATCAGTTTTAGATCCCATACACACTCCTTCCTCTTGTATTTCCCAACTACAAAAATGTCCATCATCACAATTATTTCGATCTCTTTCAAAATTAAATAAATCAAAATGGACATGTAATTTTCCTAAAACAATTAAATCTATATCACAAGTTATTTTGTTATCTCCTTGGGGAGTTATAGGACAATCGATGTAATTTGGACCTACTCCAGGAAGTACTACTCTTTTAAACACATCTTGTCCTATCGTACAATAGATTACTGCTGGTTTTGAAGATGCATTTTCGATATCAACTATATATTCGATGGGATCTGAATTAACTGAACATAAGAAGATAAATAAAAAAACACGTTATAAATAATGGGGAAGCCATGAGTTTCTTTTTCATTTTTGATGCGTGGATTTTTTTTTTGTCTTGATGGGACTCTAACTTATAGAAGTAATTGTTACAAAAATTTAATTACTTCTCATATTTTATTATATATAATAAAAATATAACTAGTCAAACGATTACAAAAAGTAATTATATTTACAGAAAAAAGTTAAATTTTATTTATATACAGAAAAACAAAAAAATTACCAAAAAAAAAGAGGAGTAATTCTATTACAGAAAAAAGAGTCAAAAAAGGATCATGCACTTTCAAAAAAAAAAATGGGGATTATGAACAAGTATCCTCTCAATCTATGTGCGAAATCTCAAGAGACACACTTATACTATACTAAGGTTCTATTATTCCCTTAAGTTATTTTACTAACAATTTTCTACCCCTTTTCGACCTACGTAATACTATCTTGTGGGCCCAACGCTGATTGATATTTTTTTTCAAGTTAGTGTCACGTAAGCCGAAAAGGACTAGAAAAATACTTATAAAATAAGTTCAAGGGGTAATAGGACCTTAGTATATTATAAATGTCTCTCTAGGATTTCGAGCATAGACTGAGAGGTACTTGTGCATTTTTCCAAAAAAAGTAAAATTCTTTTTTTTCCCATGTTCGTTATTATTTTAAAAAAAATAAAATTCTCTTCTTATTAAAAATAAAAACAAAAACAAACTTTTTCCATACATTTGTTTCATGTATCGATATTGTTATTGCTATTGTATAGATAATTATGTAGTGTATTGATATTGTAAAATGGTATAAACGTGTATTAATATGAGATAAATAATGTATAATCTAGTATCGAGATTGTATAAACAATTATGTAATGTATTTATTATATAGATATTTATTTGACTATCATGCATTTTCACCTTAATAAATAAATGAATAAACAAAAAATAGTAAAAAGACATAAATATTCTCTTTTTTAAAAAAATAAAATGAAATGATTATAAAAGGAAATAAACCAAAACAAATTCAAATAAAATCAATTTATTTAATCGATTTGGGTCGATTTTATCCAAATTGTGAACAACGTCAATTATTTTATTTTATTTTATTTTCATTCATTTTACTTATCTTATTTTTCTTTTTGATCCGCTTCAAAAAGAATGTCTCTTTCTCTTCTTTTTTTAATATCTCAGTAATGATATACAACAAAAGTAAAATACATTTGCTACGTTTAACATTATCTTTAGTTTAAAATCACAATAAAAATATCTTCTTTAATTTCTTAATTACAACTCTCTCTCTATATATATATATGGAACATTTGCAAACTAATAATTTTAAAGAAAAAATGAGACTGAGAGAATACAATTATTGGTATATACTTATAAGTTATATATATAAGATTTATACATAGGATTGGATTCGATTAATGTAGTTGACCTAGTTCAATTGGATTTGTGTATTCACACCTAAATTTGACTAACTTATTAGTGATCCATAAATCTATATAGAGTATAGATCATATAATTAAATTTTATCTTTTGACCATGCTGGATTATTAAACGCTATTAATTGATTTATTCATTTATTTTTTTAATGCGAGCTTGTTATTTTATTTTATTTTATTTAATTGCATCAATGTGTGTTCTTTGACTTAGTAGAGAACAAGTAGGTGCTACTCTTGGATATTATTCATCTCATGACTAAGGTAACATATTATGTAGTTTTTTTTTTTTCATTCAGAGTTCGATATAATATATTAGAGTTTAATTAAATTTAAATATATGTTAAAAAATCCATTTTAGAAAATAAAACGCTCCTTTATATCAATGGTGACTATGCTACAAAGAGAGACCTTCAAACTCATTCTTTGTGATGACTCATTAAATAGCCACAAGAGTAAAGTTTACAAAGAAGTAGCCAATTTTCTTCGGAAACATGCATGAAAATAATATATTAATAAAATATTTATCATTTATAGCAATATCATTTTTTTATTTAATTATTTTTAATACATTTATAATAAGGTTTTAATACATATTACAAAAAACAATTCATTATTCACAGTTTTATTGATGATTAATACATTTATCACACATTTTAATACACTTATAATATAATGTATCAATTTTTTTACCAAACGAGCATAATATATTTTTGAAAATAGTTTTATTACATATTTATCGAATACTTAATTAACTTGTAATAAACATTGCATATTTAACATGGTATTGCTATAAATAATAATAAATAAAAAATATCACTAAATCAGTAATTATTAATTAAAAGGTTTTAATTCAAAGTAATTTTTCCATTTTCTATTTACACAAATTGCTAAAAAGGGTCATAGGCTCAACGGAGCTTAAATCGGCCCAAGACCATTAGGTCATTTTTGATTATTTTTTTTTCGTCAGTTATTTATTATTATTTTTTTAAAAAATACTTATTTTGTTATTGTTTTCCATAAAAACCTTTTTCTTAAATTTAAAATTCCATGCAGCTATCAACCCGGTTAGAAAAAACTTACCTTTTTATTGTTTTGTCAATATTTCAGTAATTTGATTAAATATCAAACTTTAACCAAATCAACTTTTCTTTTACTTTTTATTTCAAAGGAATGTGCAAGAAAATATAAAAAAGGTAAATCTATACATAATTAAAGAAAAAAACTACTAATATTTTCAGAAGATTGTCTTACCAAATCTAAAAAAGGACTATCATTTAATATTGTATACCATATTTCAAATTAATTCGATTTATTAAGTTAGTATTTGAATATTTTACTTTGATAAATTCAAGAAAAAATCGCATTCCACTAAACATGACGTGGACTATATAATCTTAATTTTCCATAAACTTGAGAAGTTACAATTACTATTTTTCTATATTATATTTATTTTCCGAATTAGAGACACTTACCTACCAAAAATTTTACAAGTTTTTTTTACTTGCTATTCAAATTAGGAATACTAATTATAATTTTAAAAAGGTCAGTAAATAAATCAGGATTAGGATTCTAATTAGTTTAGGATTTCTTAGTAGTTTAGAATTCTTTACTAGTTTAGAATCTATTATTTATGGCATTTCCTTAATTAGGATTTATTAAAGTCCTAATTTACTTTGATTATTAGTATTATAAATAGGGAGTACAAAAATTTACCCCGAAGGCATAAAATTTCCGATCCAGTTATGGCAGAGGAAGATGAAATCAAGAGGAGAACGAACAATCCCAAGTCTTATCAAGTGAGGAAAGAATGCATAAAAAGGAAATCGATGGAGCTTGCGACTCTCTGCGATATCAAGGTTTGTACGGTTATTACTGGTCCTAATGGGGAACTGCAAACTTGGCCTGACGATTTCGATGCCTGTAAGCAAGTTCTCGATCTCTACTCTCAAAATTTGAAACCCGAAAAGAAGTACAAGGAATCATCGACACCAGAGCCAGAGCCAGAGCCAGAACCAGAACGAGGCGAAGAACAAGGAGAGAAAGATCTCCTGACGCTAGTTGAATCAACGCTTGCTGCTGTCAATAGGAGAATTTGTATATTGGAGAATAAGGGGAAAAGAAAGAGAATCGAGTGATTTATTCGTATGAGTGTTTTTTTTGGGGGGTGTATTATCAAAATGTTTCAACGATTGAAATTGTGTGTGTGTTTTTTAATTAAACAATTAAATTAGTGAGTATGTTATCTCCTTTGGGAATAATGAAAATATCGATGTAATTTGGATCACTTTCGGGAATTAATTTACTTTGGAAAACATTTTGATGATTTGTGAACTATACCTTCGAGTCCTATCATTTGTAGGACTAGACGCATTTCAACCTGCTTTCTTGAAATTTAGCTTTGAACGAAAACATGTTATAAATAATTTGGGAAGTCATGACACATAGAGGTATTTGTTTCTTTTTTGGTGTGTATTTTTGTGTTGTTGTAAGTCTAATTTGTAGTACTAATTATTCTCACGTTGCTTTAGATTTATCTAATAAGATTTACAAAAAAGTTCAATTACTTCACATCTATAATAAAAATATGAGTCATCAAATCTAGTCCAAGAATTAACAAATTGGAGGTCAATAACACCGATAAAAAACAAAATATGAAAGGACAAATTTCATTAATTATATATATATATATAAAAAAAAATTACAAAAGAAGTAGCCAGTTTTCTATTTACCGAAAAATAGCTAAAAAGGGTCATGGGCTTAACGGAGCTTAAATCGGCCCAAGACATTTTCTTTTTCGGAAAAACACAGAGATCCCATTTTTAAGTTCTGTTATTATCACGATCCCCTATTAGTTTTACAAATTTTCAAATTTTCTTATTTTTGCGCATCAGATTAATGTATCAGCACAGATTAATGCATCTCGCACATTAGATTAGTGTATCATGTAAAAAAATGTACATCTGATTAGTGTATCATGTATAAAATATAATGTATCTTACTAAACAATTAATGTATCTCGCGTATCAGATTAATGTATGAGCGCTTATATTATTGTATCAGTTTGAGAAATTTCTGTAATTATAAACTTATAAGGGATGAGTGGTAATTTTGCCTTAAAAGTATGTGGTTTCTGTCCTTTACCCTCTTTTGTTTGCAGCATTAGTTAATTACATTTTTTTTGAAAAAAAAAAACTTATTTTTTCATTGTTTTCCACAAAAACTTTTCAAAAAAAATTAAAATTCCGTGCAACTATCATATTGTATAAATGTACAGAAACCCGTATTGAGATTGTATACATAAGTTAGGTAATGTATCGGTATTTGTATAAATAGTGTCTAAGTGTGTGTTATATATATATATATTATGATAAATCTTATATGATGCCTATTTATTAGAATAAAGTCACAAACAAATTTGTATCAATTGTCCTTATCAGCAACAATAACATTTTTGTTCTTATTTTAAAAAAATAAGAACAAAAATATACAAGTATTTCAGGTTAATAATATATGCACAAGTCAAAAAGACCCAACAATGATTTTGTAGAAGAAACTTATTAATCCTACTATTTAATCTACAAATAATAGGTAGAAACTATGTAATTTTTGTACATTCAATATATATCTCTACATCCAATGTATCTCTCTATACATTGAAAATATCTAATATGGCATCCTTATTTATATATTTCATCTATATTCCATTTTAAAAAAGAATGATCTCCTTTTCTTTTTAATCTGGTTAAAAAAGAATGATATCTTTCTTTTTTTTATAACATTTAAATTTCAACTTTCCATGTGACATGTTTAAGGCTACAAAATCAAAGGGCAATTTTATACATTTAATCTAACTTGAACTTAGAACCACAAGATACAAAGTTTTCTTTATACTCTTAAACTTCGTGCCAAATTAAACCAGGTTAATCTTTGTGAAACATTACTAATAACCAACGTAAATTAGGACTAGAACCTATAAAACTAACAAATTCTAATTAAATTAAATAAGAAAATACTATAATGAATAAAGTCTAAACTAGTACGGAATTCTAAACTACTAAGGAATTGAAAACTATTTACGAATCTCAATCTTGATTTATTTCCTACCCTATTTAAATTATAATTAGTATTCTTAATTTGAACAGTAAATAATTCTAAACGGGCAAGTTTGACTCGTTTATTTATTTTTTAAAAGTTTTAATAAAAATAGATATTTAAAACTCAAAATCTAAAATATGTCACGTTAATTGAAAGATATGTAAAAAAAATTAAATTATTATCCAGACGAACACGACAAAAATTCTCTTATGTATTATGCTATGTCTCGAAGGCATCAATAACCATAACCGAGTTAAACATATAATCAGATTACTTCAAAATAAGTAAAACTTTAAATAATCATGTTTAATGTAACTTAATCCATGTGACAGAATAATCCTTCATTATGGACAGCTAATTTTTATCAAAACCCTGCCTGGCCCCTTACTACCACTAGTAATATCCAAAATCATATTTCCCCTTAATTTGTTTCAATTTATTTAGTTCATTTAATAAAATATATGTTTTCTATATTTTTAATTTAAATTATAAAATCTAATTAAATTATTAGTAAAAAAAAAAAAAAGAATCTGAACTTTTTGATTAGACATAAAGTATAATTCAAAATTCAAACGACATAATGTAAAGGTAATATAAAGTACTCAAATTTGAAGGACTCTTGTGAGTAGAGAGAGAGAGAGAGAATAAAAGGTATCTTTTTTGTTTTGTTTGTTCATTGAATTGAGTGGAGATCTGCAGAGGAAATGGCAAGTTTTGGAGGGACAACTCAGAAGTGTAAGGCTTGTGAAAAAACTGTTTACTTGGTGGATCAGCTTACTGCTGACAATAAGGTTTATCATAAAGCTTGTTTCAGATGCCACCATTGTAAGGGTACACTCAAGGTGAGTACACATTAAAAGTCTGATCTTTTTCTTGTTAAATGTGGTTTTGTGCTTTTATCTTGCTTGATGTTATATGTGGTGTACATTCATATGTGAAATCAATGTTATTTCCTACTGTTAGATAGAATTGTAATGTTGTAATTGGTCTCAAGAGAGGAGGGCAAGAAGAGGGTAGGGTTTATGTTGAATAGTGAAAAAGGGAGGGGTGGTGTTCTTTTATGGATTTGGACAATTCTCAACTTCGTGAGCTAGTTTATTGAGTTGAGTTAGATTCAAGATTCGTACCAATTATTGTGTATGATGTTGGGTTCCCATTTTGAGTTGCCCACATACTAGACGTCTAGCCGTGGGCGTGGGCGTGGGGTGTTTAAGATTCCCACAAGGGGATGGGTGGTCTCTTATATGGACTTGCGCAATCCTCTCCTTGTGAACTGGCTTTTGAGGGTTGAGTTAGGTCCAAGATCCATTTTTTTAAATAGTTTTAGTATTTGAATCTGCAACCAGAAGTTGCAAGCTTGCAACTTTGATGTCTTACTGTGCTTTGTTAGAAATGAATGATTGGGTTTGGTTGGGGGATCCATGATGCTCTTCTGTTTATCCCAAAAGAACAGAGATTTTCGACTAATAGATGCTTTCTCTGTTAGGTTATGTTTGTCAGATTGTTTTGATATGCCTCTTTCAAAGGTTTGAGTTTTGGATACTTATGTAAGCTTTCTGCAATTGTTAGTGAAGAGTAATTGTTTGATAGTATTAAGGTTAACCGTGATTTACCTCTTTCAAAGGTTTGAGTTTTAGATACTTATTTAAGCTTTCAGCAATTGTTAGTGAAGAGTGATTGCTTGATAGTGTTAAGGTTAACCGATGTGATGTTAACTTGATGAAAAATGAGACATCTATCAGGGGAATCTCTGGACTCCCTTTACTGAGTAAAATTTTGACCAAAATTGGTCTGTGAAATGTAATTACATGGACTCTAGGGAACTATGGCTTTAAGATTCACATATAAACATTCAAATGAGATTTGGTAGAAGTTTACATTATTTATTTAAAGAAGCTGTTTTTCATGACCAAGAATCGTCTGAGGCTAGTCTTTAGGACCAACTGCAACTCTCGAAACTCAGGGTTGATGGGCCTTCCCCTCTTAAATATTAGGCTTAGTTCGCATGACACAGGGCTCAAACTTGTGGCCTGAGTTTTAAGTCCTTCAACCTTTGTCACTTGAACTTGGTAGCCATATAGAGGAAAAAGTTGTTTCTTCTTTGAAATGTCTCACGTCAGTTAATATCATTTCAATAGCCAACTAGTTGTGTTTGTGTTCCCATCTTCACCTTTATGCCGACCAATTTTGACTAGTTAACTTGAGAATCCTGGTTTATTAATTGACACTTAACATTATTGCCCATTCAAATATGCTTAATACTAAGTAAGTGAAACCGGCTGGTGGTTTCTTGGTCATGACTAGCTAGGGCTAAAGTTCCAAATTACATATAGGAATTAAACAAGAATACTCTATTGGGTGAAGAATACATGAGCTCTGTTCCTCTTTTTCTTCTTTTAGGAATGAAATATGCAAGAATGACATTTAAAGAGGCACAAGAAGACATACCATCAAAATTAATCATTTATGTGAAAATTTTGCCTTTAGTCTTTACCTGAGAAGTTAAGCAGAGTATTTGCAACTGCATCCTGCTGTACTAACTTTATCGATTGTGAAACTTGACTCCATCTATCAGTAATTGTGCTACTGTAATTGTTGTTCAACTCTGATTTGCGGAGGCCATGAGACTTTTTATTCGTCCAACTTTGTTAGCATGGAATCTGGCATAGAAGTGCTATACAATTAGTTATACAGATGAAGATGTTTTGCTCCATCAACCAAAAGTACAAAATCTAGTGTAAACTTCTCAGACGGTCACAGTACTTGGAGTATATCTCCATTTTCTCCTTCATATGTTTAGCATCTCGTTAGCACCTTTTTTTCATGTGGTTAATTATAAGATGTCTTAATCTTATTTTCCTTGTCATTTTTAATGTTTTTTAGCTGAGTAATTATAACTCCTTCGAAGGAGTTTTGTACTGCCGACCTCACTTTGATCAGCTATTCAAAATGACAGGAAGTCTGGATAAGAGTTTCGAAGGTAGTTACGATAGAGTTGACATGATGATTTTTCTTCTATTTCATTTTTCATCGCTACTCCTTCTAAAGCTAGTTTCTTCTTGTTTGTTATTTCTCTTTTCTAGGGGCTCCGAAAACTGTCAGGGAACGTTCCGCGGATCAGGTATTATTTGAACACACTTCCTCTAGCACTTTTACAACATACATTTTTGTCCATTTCAGTTTGCCTGCTGATCTTATAATTGATTGCCTCGTATTTATCTCCCAGGGATCAAACAG